AGATGATGATAAGCTTTACCTTTAAGAGTACCAAAGTATTAAACTAGTAAAGACCTGTAAAGAATTCAGCCTATTGGCTGATACATAGTAAGACTGCTAAAAATGTATCTGTTGCCACACAGCATAAAAATTTAACAAAAATGAGACTTGAGTCTGTGTGGGGCTCCAACCATTGCTCTGCAATGCCCTAGAATAGCATACCAGAATTTCAAATTCTAAGTGATACTTTTTTTTTTAATTATAGGCTGAGAGAGTAGCCTTGTCTTTTCATTTTTAAATTAATTAATTAATTAATTAAAATTAATTAATTAATTAATCTTGTTTTACATATAGATCCCTCTCCATCTCTCCATCCCTCTCTTCCACCCTCCCATGCATCCCTACCATCCTCCCATCCCATTCTCCCCCTCCATTCCACATGTAGGGCGATGCCTTCCTGGAGGGGTCATCTAAATCTGTCAAGTCATTTGGAGTAGGAACTAGGCCCTCCCTCCTGCCTCTAGGCTTAGGGAGTATCCCTCCATGGGGAATGTGCTCCCAAAGTCCTTTCTTGCACCAGGAATACATCCTGCTTCCACTGTCTGAGGTCCCTTAGACTGCCCAGGCCTTCTAACTGAGACCCACGTTCAGGGGGTCTGAGTCGGTTCCATGCTGATTTCCCAGCTATCAGTCTGGGGGCCCCTTAGCTCCTACTTGTTCAGGTCAGCTGTATCTGTGGGTTTCTGTAGTCTGGTCTTGTCCTCCCTCTTTGCATTTGGACTCCAGTTCGGCTCAGTGTTTAACTGTGGGTGTCTGCTTCTCTTTCCATCAGGTACTAGATGAGGGCTCTATGATGGTGGATAAGTTAGACATCAACATCATTATCAGGGAAGGGCATTTATGGTAGCCTTTCCATGGTTGTTCACTGGTTCAAGAAACTGTGCCACAATCCTATGGTACCAAACAAAACAAAACAAAATAAAACAAAAGACAAACAAACCAAGCTGGGCAGTAGTGGGCCACACCTTTAATCCCAGCAATTGGGAGGCAGTGGTAGGAGGATCTCTGTGAGTTAGAGGCCAGCCTGGTCTACAAGAGCTAGTTCCAGGACAGCCTCCAAAGCTACATAGGGAAACCATGCCTCATAAAAACAAAAACAACAAACAAACAAAACAACCAAGCTGCTTATGCTTAGATGCTAAGGCTATCTTCTAGTAGGCTAAAGGCTAAATTCAAATGTGGTACTTAAAGCCATCCTAGGACAAAGGAAACTGTTTATGTGACATTTTTCAAACAGTTCATGCTCAGAACAAGAACTTTTTTGTTTTGTTTGTTTGTTTATTTGGTGGTTGGTTGGTTTTTTGGCTTTTGGGCTTCTTTTAGACACAAATATAGTCTGTCTGGAATTTATCTCTTGCCTTAAATCTTCAAAGGGCAGCCAAGTCCTTCTCAACAGACCCAAGAGTAGCTATGAGATAGCAGTTATCTTCTCAATGAAGAATGCACAGACAGCTCCTTTATCTTCCAAGGTTTTGCTGCATATCTGAGTGTAGGATTTCAGTGGCGGCTAAGATTCTGTAAGTTGCTCAGAATTGCTCAAGTGTGCCTACATCTTTACTTAGAAGGAAATATGGAAACACATTAGGCTTTAGAGTATGGTAAATCCTTGTGATACGAGGCTTCCATTATGGCAATAAAACTCACAGTAGTATTTGCACTTTAAAAATCCTATAGTCACAATCAATATATAAATTGGATTTTAATTAAGGGCTCAAATAGTATTATTATGTACTTATATTTAAAGAAACTGGTAAGCACCACATAGTTTGATATAACTGGGTCATAACAAACAAAATAAACCTGTCTATCCATGCAGAGACAATTTCTTTAGCTTGGTAATGTAAAGTTTTCCAGACTGTGCTCTCTCTCTCTCTCTCTCTCTCTCTCTCTCTCTCTCTCTCTCTTTCTCTCTCTCTGTCTCTTCTCTCTCACAACATACACATGCACACATGAATAAATATACTCTATATGCAGGTTTTATTTTCTCTCTTAATAGGGCCTTGTAGTTCTTGGAAATTCTTTTTTTGACATGCATTTTTGCTTTGTCAGATTTTGCCCAATATGCTATACATGGCCTTTGGTTTTCGTTTTTGTTTTTTTCCTTGGAAAAGGAGTTTTTCTGGGTAGACCACATTGGCCAGTAATTTGAGATTCCTCCCAAGTGTGTGGATTATTGGCCAGAGTCACTATGCTATCTTCATTTGTCATAAAATAAAAAATAAATAAAAATAAAAAATATATTAAAAAAACCAAATCACCAAATTAAATCTCTAAAAACGTGGAAATTATTACCTTTTCATGCATTTAGCATTTAAGAAATGTGTTCATCTTCTAGCCTTATTGTTTAGTCTAATGTATACAAACCCTGTGAATCAACATGCAATTCAAATCGCTGCTCAATAAACTGAAGTGAGTTCTGATGGTATTCAGAGTAAACTAAGTAATTTTAAATGCTTTGGTCTACAACAAAAACACAAGAACACATTCTGCTTTGTACTGTGTATATTCAGAGTCTCCTCCTCAGCCCCATTATGAAGCATGAGGAAAAACATTTTTCATTTAAAGTTTGTCTACTGTTATGCAGAAAGGTTATTTCAGGCTAACCTTGTACTACAGTTATTTGTTTTAGCAGGTTTTACAAAGGAGGCATTTTGATACCCAGTGAGCAGCCATTTCTCCTCTCTAATATAATTTCCTCATATCACAGGACGAACCTGAGACATTGAAGAATAAGCAAAAGGAACATTTCTATAAATCTCAATAAAGATTAAAATGAGTTAAGGAGCAATAGGAAAACATGCCTGACTTTGCAGCTACGTCACGTTACATTGTCCTCTGGAGAGCAAATGTAGAAAATGGAAATTTATGTTCGAAAGGGGTGCAGCCACGTGTGACAATGAATACAGGATTCTCTGCTGTCAGTTGGAACCAAAGCTCTGCACTTTGGGCAAATTCTGCCATAACAATTGGTACGCAGTACCTGATTTTCTCTAACCCATTCTGAAGCAACCAGCCCCCAGTAAGCAGACTCATATCAAGTCCCCTATCCTGAAATTGCTTTCCTATCACTGAATCTCAGAGACACAACTGATGACCAAACCCTAGCACCCTGTTTCCCCGAAAGTAGAGAGGATGGCATTGCAGTTGGGCTAGCAATCATTCTCATGGCAGACAAATGGATTCAAATTTCTTACATCTAACCAAAGTCTAAGGCAATTTAATTTTACTTAAAATGTCTATTTTTTTTGTTTAGTCTGTATCAGTGTTTTGCTTGCAAGTGTATATGTGTACAATGTGCACACCTTGTGCCTTCTGAGGCAAGAAGAGGCTGTAGGATCCCCTGGGACTAGAAATACAGTTGCTTGTGAGTTGTGGTTGGGAATTGAACAGGGTCCATTGCAAAAGTGACAAGAGCTATTGGCCAGTGAGATCTTTCCAGCCCCAAATAAACACCCTTGGCCCTCTCATTTTAGAGGGAAATTCTATGTGGGTCACTTTAAGGCAAATATTTTTGAACAGTTATTTATCAAATAAATTAAATTCAGTAGTGTTGCTGATATAGGGTGAACAAAGGGAATTTTCGTTGTCATTCTTATGTGTATAACAAGTTCACTGTATCATTGATATTTCAGTATATTCAAAACTAATGTTAAAATGTCTTTTTAGAGCTAATGCTTCTGACAGATTCCATTCAAGTGGCAAATATTCAATGGTGAAAAGCGTTTAAAATGAGTGTTTGCTGAATAAATAGGTTCCATTGGGTTCCACGTAAGGCATGAAGACAGTGAAGGGATTTTTAAATCATTCCTGGGGGAACTTGTAGTTTACGATGATACTTTGAAGCATGCACATGCCAGCAGATGGTACCCTGTGTCTCTTTAAAGAGCTGGGACACTGTGCTCTGGGTGTCTAAGGGGGGTGGGTCACTGAAGATTTAAGAATATGAAATGGGCCTTGAAAAGGCTGTGGTAGTTTAAGGAACATTCTAGAAGGGAAGAAACACAGGACCCACTTACACAGCTGTGCAGGCGCAATGATGGCTTCAAGGTTGTTCTTGGAGACAGGTTGTCTGCAGAGACATGTAAACTATATGGGAAGACTGGAGGCAGGCAAGGGAATGCACTTTCTGCAAGCTCCTGCACCTCGAGTGGAGCTTGGGGATGGGCCAGAATTGTGGTAAAGGTTTTAGGATTCAGGCATTCTCTTATTGGGGCTCACACTTCAGACATCTCAAGGAGAGAAAAAGGGAGCCAAGCAAGATTCTTATTGGAGGGTGATGGAGTTAGAGAAACCAGTTCCCAGAGTAAACATCCAGCAAGCCTGTGAGAGCTCACAAAAAGAACTCTTAGCCCAAGGTAAGACCCAGAGAGGCAGGAATTCAAGACACAGAGAACCCTGGAAGGCTACGCCACACCCCTGCACATAAGGACAAAATGAGATGTGTTTTCAATACAGTATCTAGACATTCTCGGTTAAAAGCAATCTTGGGGTCCCAGCTTTGAATATATTCTCGTGTCCTGAATTCTTTTAGAAAGAAAGGGTGTTTTAAGTTACTTGTTTTCCTGGACGAACCTGTCTTGACTGCCAAATTTTCCACCCATCAAGGTGCACCTAGGTCGGGGGCGACCTGCAGAGCCCAGTAATTTTGTTCAGGTTCATTCTTCCAATTACACCCCGAAGTTGGGAAGCTGGAGTATCCACCTTATGACCCTCTCACTAAGGGAGAACTTGACATAGTTTTCCAGCCAGTGAACAGATCACTGAAGCAAGCAAGCCAGGGGTACGAACAGCGCCCCATGGGAGGAAGTAAGAGTGAAAGCGGCCTCCCACCTAGCTTTATCCCCAAACACAGAAAGCCTGGTTGACTTTGGCTTGGTAGGGATGGTCCGGAGTGGAGCTGGAAGATCCCGGGGTGAAGTCACCGCCCGCCTGGGCTCCCGTTTATCCTGGGAGCTTCTATTATGGGGAAACACACTGGGGCCGAGTCTTCAAGACCCATAAGTCCTCGCCCCGGGTCTGGTCGCTTAGGGGTCAGCGGCGGGAGAGCACAGCATCTGGAAGGGAAGGGCCAGGAAATCCGTAGAGCGGCGGGAGCGTCTCGGCAGGGCTTCCCAGGGCTTTCCCGGCGGCGAGCTAGCGCCGGCCCCGGGGCTAAGGACCCGTTGCGGGGCGCAGCCGTGTGGAAGCCACGCCGAGAGGCAGGGGGGTGTGGAGCCCGGGCCGAGGCGGCGCGGGAGCCGAGGGAGGATCCCGGCGGGCGAGGTGTGGGCGGCGCCCGATCGCCCGCGCCCCGGCCGCGCCCTGGGCACCGGGGGCGCTGTCGCCTGTCGAACGCACAGCTCCGGCGGCGGCGGCGCGAGGCCGAGCCTGGCGTTCCCCGGGGGTGCCCGGCCAGCAGCGCAGTCCGGGCCGCCCACCCCGGGAGCCGCGATTGCCTGGGAGCCGCGGAGACACAGAAGAGAGAGGAGAGAGAGAGAGATTGGAGGCGGCGGCTCAGCCCGCGGGTGCGCGGGGCGCGGGAGGCGGAGCGCAGGGCTGGGTGGCCGCCGGCGAGTGTGCTCGCCCGGCCGGAGAGCTGCGGGGCGGAGGACCGGCACCCGGAGCGCCCGCCTGGCCTCCGGCGCGCGGCTGGCTGCGCCGCTGCTGCACAGACACACACCCACCGAGAGCCACCGAGCGCCACCGAGCCCCCGCCGCCCCCGCCCGCCGCCCGCCGCCGCGCCTCGGGCTGCGGGATCCAGAGCCAAGTCCCGGGCTGGCGCGGAGCGCAGAGCACCGCTTGATTTTTTTTTTTTTTCTCCCCCTTCAATCCAGCCCTCTCTGATCTGGGCGGCGGCGGCAGGGGGATGGGGGCTCCATGCGGGGAAAGGGGGTGATGATGATCGAGGAAGATTATTGTTCTTTTTTGAAGGATGCCTTCGCTTCCTCCCAGCGAGTCCTCAGTGAGCCTCCTTACTAGAGACTGCGAGCCAGAGTGAGGGATGTAAGGAGAAGGGAAGCCGCCGAGAGCTCCAGCCAGCCTGGGAGACCCTCCTCTCTGTGGAGGGGAGGGGGATTTCTAGCCACACATCACTGACGAAAGGGACCTTCGCAGGAGAGGAGCCCTCCGAGCGAGCGGGGAGTCCCACAGCCCTTGGTGGCACAGGAGCCAGAGCTGCTGGCTGAGTGGAGCGGGGGTCTGTGGGAGCTAGGTAAGTGGCCCGGGCATTGCCATTCCCCAAGAGCTCTTCTTTAGAGATGCTTCTCCGCCGCCTTGACAGCCTGCCAGACTTGAGTTGCTAAAGGAACGGGAAACTGCCATATGGCGCCTAGTGGACTTCCATACAAAGCTGATAGGGTTGTTAGCCCTGACTGGTTATAAACGCAAGGCTTCTTCCCGATGGGCAAGACATGCAAGTGTGAGTGCCTGGCAAGCCTGCCTTGACCAAAAGGATGAGAACCGCTGTCTGTAGGAGAGGAGCCTCTGCTGCCTTCTGTTCCTGTTCGTTTGTTGGTAAATGCCACATTTGCACGCACACACTTGTCCGACTAGACTTAGGGAGTGTGCTGTCTCCGTTGTATGCACAGTCCTCGGATCACAGAGGCATGCATGCATTTATTCCTCAGTGGTGAGTGGTCTTGGTTCCCAGGAACTAGCTAGACCAGGTCTCTAAGGAAAGTGCTCCCAGGCTGTTTCCAACATGCTCTGCTGAGGGGACTTGGAGATACAGATGCCCTGAGTGGCACCTAAAGACACCCACCATTTGCCTCATCATCTGCTCCTGAGACCTAATGAGTCTTTTCAAGATAGTATCCCGCCATGCCATCCATTTTCTCAGATTAGGAGCATTTGTTTGTATCCATTCATAAAAACTGTCGATGTGCAATATGCATAAACACGACATTTATACAACAACCATGACTGCACAAGTGTTTTAACAGTAAAGCACAACGCAGATAAGCAGATAAGATTAAATACTGGGAAATTTAATCTGCACGGGCAGTCATTAAGGTAATTGCATGCAGGTTCAACACTCTATCTAATAAGTCATGCAATAATTTCAAAATTTTAAGTAGCACTTCACATCTCTCTCTCTCTCTCTCTATATATATATATATATATATATGTATATATATATATATATATATATATATATAATTGATTGGTTTTGGGGTCTTGTTGACAATCTGAGTGTTTTCAAGCTCAGCCCAAAAGAAAAGAAAACATTTCACTGTTAGTGTTTTTAAATGTCTAGCATTGGGTGGGACAGCTACCTCTTGCTTGTTTACCAGTGGTAGTACATTGCACAGAGTTAGCAAATAATAGATTTTGGTCCAGTGTCTGGATTTTACCTGCCAGTGCTGAACGACTCAGAGGGCAGAGTCTGTCAAAAGTGTTCACACCCTAAAGTTTTGTCTATTTCACTCTAGACGCATGAGCAGGGTGCATCAAAAAATATAAGACTGTCCCATACTCATCTTTTAATCCGTGAGTAAAATATAGGTAGCTAGAGAGTTCTTTGTTCTTAAATTAAGCAGAGCTGAAACTGTTCAGGAGTTCAGTCTAGTATGCATATGAATGTGTATTCTTTTTAGTTTTGCTGCCTCGGGTGCTGCTTTTAGCATGGGGTTTACTTGCTTAGCTACAAAGACGCTCTGGAAATATTGAAGGTCCAGTATGGAAACAATCCACTCACTTCTCCACTTCAGAGTGTCCATATGCACTCACAAAGCCAAGCCTGCAGTCTGCTCCTTCTCGGAGTTTGTTTATCACAAACAGGATTCTGCCTAACACATTCCCCTTTCCCTGGCACTATGCAGACTTTTGGAGAAAGGAATGAACCACTTGGCAGTTCTCTTTGCTGTCTTTCTCCTTCAGCCTCCACCTTTCCCTTCCAAGCTTAGTGTCCCCAAGTCTCCCTCTTACACAAACCCCTACACATGGATTCCAGAAACATGTCTCTACTGCCTGCCACTTGGCGTTTTCATTCTGGGTTTCCCTCCTCGTGTGCTCCCAACCCCTTCCCAAAGAGAATCAATCTATGCATCGCTTGACACCGCTTACAAATTCATTTTCGCCCCTTATCTCACAGTTAAATTCTCCGAGCATGTTTGTTTACTGACGATTCAGATGGACTGGTAGAAATGATCACCTTATCAACGCTTTTGATGTGGTTTCTAATGTGTCCTTGTTGATGCTGTAGGGGAATGGAAGCTTAGCCTGCCCTTCTAAGATGTTTAAGAATAAGATTGCTAGACAAAATGAAATTGCAGGATGTGGGTTCAATCACATTTCTTGGCAACTTAAAGGCATATCGAATCAGATTTTTGTTAGACTCGTCTGAATGTTTAAACATGTCTAAGTCTGTGGAACACTGAAGAGTAGCTTGTTTCTTGAGAAAGATGTGTGGCTTTCTGACGTGCTATTGCAGAGAGATCTCTGCACAGGTCTACATCTTATGAAAGTAGATCATGTTACTGGCAACCTAGGAGACCCACAAAATATATTTCATTCAATCCCAGTGAGTGTTTTTCCTTTGATTGATTCCTTGAAATTTACTATCTCTTATAGACCAATTACTAAGGAGAATTCTAAACTGATAGGAAATTTTCCCATGTGTATTCTAAAGTAGACAGATAAGGTTAAGATATTCTGTTTATTTCTGGATACTCCTTAGGGTTTTCTTACAGTCACGTAGTCATAAAGTGGGATTTGTACAAAAGCACTGTGCCTGATAATTTCATAAAAGCCTTCAGAGGTGTGCAAAGCACATATGGGTTATAGCTATGCTAGATCTTTGAATATCAAGAGTATTTTTTAAGGTAACACTTTATGGTCATATTATTCCCAGGTGATACAATAAATTTTATAAAGCAGAGCAATTTTGAGTTTTGTTAGTCATCTACCACAAGTGTCTCTACAGTCTAGATATCTGTAGTCTAGCCCATTCTTATTTATTACTTATTTCCTCTCTTCATTCATAGATATATAGTCTCCTAAGTTCTGTACTAAAGCGTAGTTTCTAATAAAGAAAGTCGAGAGTTGTCAGAAAAGGGTCCATTCACGCATGTCAGCCAAGCCCTACAGTAATCTCTTTAAAACCCTTTTCTCATGGGCTGAATTGTACCTGTTTTTACTCTCCAATTTAATTTCATAAAGAGGTTAACTAACCTGTTCACAAAGTGGTCGAATACTTGTCAACTATGTATCCGAAGAGGGTTATATCAGAATGGAACACCTGCCCTCAGCTTTCAAAGTAAAAAGAGAAAAAACAAAACAAAACAAACAAACAAAAAAACCTTTTGCATTCTTAGTTTAAAAATCCCAATTTCAGTTCAAAAGGACAGATTTCTTGCATGTAGAAACACATCTCCTAATTTCATACTTAATAAGTTAATGAAAGCAAATTCATGAACAACATCATGAAAACTTGCCATAGGCTATGAATTTAGGGCTTCTCGGAAAACCTTATCATCAACAACACTAAAAGTTTACTAAATGTTTCACTTTAGACTTGCAAAGTGTATGAGAGTAATTTCATTATAAACCGAATATTTATTTTATCTTCTTTAAACAAATAAAAAAAATCATAGTAGTCAGTTGATCCATGTTCAGTCTTAAGTATATTGCAAAAACTTCTTCATTCTTACCTTTCACCTTATGGGGCAGTCACACTAACGCCCTTCATACGCAGACATGAAAATTAATACTCACAGGTGTTCTTACCCAGAGTCACAAGGGAAGGAAATGGAGAAGTCACTTTAAAGTCTGTATTTTGGGTTCAGGAACACTGTGACCCACTTTGATATTAGAGCATGTTGAGAAGGATAACCCTAGACAGAATTAGGGAGTATGTTTTCACTTCTAGATTCTTTGGGAGCTGTGTAGTCTCTCTGCTGAGGGTGTGGTTCTATGGATCAAGGGAGGCTTGGGAAAGACCAAATGTTGTTGTTGTTTTAATTTAAGAGAAGCCTACCTCCTCTGCCTGCTCCCCTGATAAATGTTAACTGTGAGTCTGAAAGGAGAAACTTAAGTCTTAGGCTGACTTTCACATTGCGGCAGCAGGGTTGGAAGGTTGGGAGATAGAGGGGTGGGGGGGTGGCAGAGATGGGGTGGGGGGCAGTCCTAAGAAAGCTAGCATGCTCGTGTTACAGTGACTCTTGAAAATTTGGTGGCTGGGGGCATGGTTCCATGCATAAAGCTCTGTTTCCAGAATCTTAATGCCAGGGAGGCCAGGCTGGAAGAGCTTACCTCACTCAGCCTGTCTCATAGGAAGAGAGCAGCCTTCCCAAGGAACAATGCCAAAGCTGTCTTCTGACCTATGCATGTGTCGTGGCACACACATGATTCGCATACAGTAAAAAAAAAATGGAAAGGTGGCTGGCGCAGGTGACCTGGCTGGTGGGCTGCTCATGGAAGTCCGATTTCATGTTCAAGTTTTATGAATCATTTCCAATAAAACATAGCATTGCAGGTATTTTTTAAATTCCACATTACTGCTTTAAAAGAAAATTAATGTCATTTATCAGTGTCCTCATCTTTTACTTTGCAAAACATAAATCCGATGCTTAATGGAAGTTGAAGCATAGTCTGCGAACAGATTCTTTCTAGTATATTCTTAGAATGCTTCTGTCTCATCACATCGCTTATAACTATAATTCTGGAAGCACAAACAGCAGCAGCAGCAGCAACAACAACAAAAAATCCTACTTTGAAATATTTGTCAAGAGAACTTAAATAATATTTGAAACAAAGTTCTTTTTAAGTAGCCACTGCTTCTGTTAGTGTAGAAAAATACCATCT